GCTACCCATCATGTCTCTTGCAATCCTGTGTCTTCTTTTTCATCTCCTTCATCCTCGGACTCAGTGGTTTCTCTTCCTAATGGCTCCACTGTTTTTGTGGCTGCAAAGGGTTCTCTTCCTCTTTCTTCTTCTCTCACTCTTCATGATGTCTTATTTGTTCCATCCTTTTCTTTTAATTTGCTCTCTATTGGCGCCCTTACTCGTGACTATGGTCTTGTTGCTCATTTCTTTTCATCTCATTGTTTTCTTCAGGACATTATCACGGGACAGACGATTGGGATTGCTAACCGCGTTTTTGGTTTATACATCATTGATTCTCTTGCTTTATTACCCCCTACACATGTTCCCCCACCCCGTTGTTTTTCTGTTTTTTCTGATTTTTCACTTTGGCATTCACGCATGGGACATCTATCATCTCCTGTTTTACATAAAATGAAATCTGATCTTGTTTTTTCTTCTACAGGCTCTTGCTCTTTTAATTGTGATATTTGACCCTTAGCTAAACAGAAAATACTTCGTTTCATTTTAAATCCGCAACGTTGTGCTCATGCTTTTGATCTCATTCACTGTGATGTTTGGGGACCTTTTAACCCCATTTCAATTTCTGGTTATAAGTATTTTTTAACGATTGATGATGATGCAACCAGATTTACCTGGGTTTATTTTTTGAATGCAAATCTGATTTTGCTTCTATTTTTCCAAATTTTTATAATCTTAAACTAACACAATTTCAAACTCCCATCAAGTCTATTCGCTGTGATAATGCTCTTGAATTTAATCTTCCTTCTTTTTTTCTTTCTAAGAGAATACAAGTTTTCCATTCTTGTGTTGAACGACCTGAGCAGAATTTCGTTGTTGAGCGCAAGCATCAACACATCTTAAATGTTGCTCGCGCTCTTCACTTCCAATCTCATGTTCCTTTACCCTATTGGCAGGATTGTGTTGAGACTGCTATCTATTAGATCAATCGGACTCCCTCTCCTGTTTTATCTGACAAGACCCCATTTGCACTTCTCTGTCAACGTCCTCCCTTTTATTCTCATCTTCGAGCTTTTGGATGTCTTTGCTACGCTTCCACCTTGTCTCGCACTCGTCACAAATTTTCTCCTCGTGCTCTGCCTACTGTCTTTCTTGGCTATCCACCAGGTGTCAAAGGTTATAAACCTCTTGACCTCACTTCCAATCGTATTTTTATTTCCAGGGATGTTGTTTTCTTTGAACAGGTTTTTCCCTTTGTTTCTTCTGTCCAGCCTCTGTCTCATTTTCCTGTTTCTCCTATTTTTTCTCCTCTTCCATTGCTTACTACTGAAGCTTCTCCACCTTCTGACCGTCCCAAACGTTTCACTCGCCCTCCTCCACACCTCCAAGATTATGTCTGTCATTCTACCACTGCCCATCCTATTTCAAATTTTATAGGTTACACTCGCCTTTCACCCTCTCACTTGGCTTTTGTTAATATACTTTCCCACCATTTTGAACCTACTACCTATGCTGAAGCTTCTCAGTTGCCAGAATGGTGTGATGCTATGAAGTCTGAGATCCTTGCTCTTGAACAAAATCATACCTGGGATGTTGTTTCTCTTCCTTCTAACAAGGTTGCTATTGGATGTAAATGGGTTTACAAGGTAAAATATCACTCGGATGGCTCCCTGGAAAGATATAAAGCTAGGCTGGTTGCTCAAGGTTTCACTCAACAAGAAGGACTTGATTATATGGAGACCTTTTCTCCTGTTGCTAAAATTTCTACTGCTCGTGTGTTGATTTCCCTTGCTGCTAGTCATGATTGGTGCTTGCATCAACTAGATGTCAATAACGCCTTTCTCCATGGCGATTTGATTGAGGAGGTGTACATGCGTTTACCTCCTGGGTATATTTTTCAGGGGGAGTCCCTTCCTAATAATGTTGTCTGTCGTTTGAAGAAGTCTCTGTATGGGCTTAAGCAAGCATCTCGCCAGTGGTTTGCCAAGTTCAACTCTGCCTTGCTTTCTTTGAAATTTATTCAATCTACTGCTGATAATACCTTGTTCACTCGCACCACTAATGATTCTTTTATTGCTATACTTGTTTATGTTGATGATGTGATTTTGGCATCAAATAATTCTGAGGCTGTCCAACACCTTATTTCTTTTCTGAATACACAGTTCAAGCTAAAGGATCTTGGCCCCTTGAAATATTTTCTTGGAATTGAGGTTGCCCGCTCTTCTAAAGGGATTTTTCTTTCTCAGCGCAAATATGCCTTAGACATATTGCAAGATTCAGGTTTATTGGGCTGCAAACCGCAGTCTACACCTACGGAATCCAATTTAAAGCTTTCTATTCATCTTGGGGATCTCCTACCTGACCCTTCTGTTTATCGCAGGCTTATTGGTAGGCTCATTTATTTAACTATTACTCGCCATGACTTGTGTTTTGCTGTGAACCATTTGAGTCAGTTTGTTTCTTCTCCAAGAGTGCCTCATCTTCATGCTGCTCAACGCTTGCTGGCTTATTTAAAGCAGACCCCTGGCCAGGGAATTTTTTATTCCTCCTCTTCTTCTTTGGCTTTGCATATCTTTGCTAATTCTGACTGGGCAAGCTGCCCTGATTCTAGGAGATCTGTATCAGGTATCTGTGCTTTTCTTGGTGACTCACTAATTTCATGGAAGTCTAAAAAGCAGGTTACTGTGTCCCGTTCATCTGCTGAGGCCGAATATAGGTCCATGGCAAATGCCACTTGTGAGATTTTATGGTTACTCAACTTACTGCATGATTTTCCTATTGCTCTTCCAACTCCAGCTCATTTATATTGCGACAATCAAGTTTCTCTTCACATTGCCGCCAATCCCGTTTTTCATGAGCGCACAAAACACATCGAGATTGATTGTCATCTTGTTCGTGATCAAGTTACAAAAGGCATTGTTTGCACTTTTCCGGTTTCCTCTCAACATCAACTTGCTGATATCATGACTAAGGCTCTTCCTAGTTCTCTTTTTTCTTCTCTTCTTTCCAAGATGGGAGTGCTTAACATACACTCTCCATCTTAAGGGGGAGTATTAGAATAAGTATTTTATTTTTCTGTTTCCTTTATTATAGGTATTCAGTTTTACACCTCATCTACTTTTCTGTTGTAGGACACATGTATAGGGAGGTATTCTGTTTTGACACCTCAGCTATTTTTGCTGTTATAGAAACGTGTAAACAACTCACCAATTCGGGTGTGGTTGAGATGCATATATACACACCATGTAAAGAATGAACTGAGATTATCAATGAGAATTATTACTTTCTTCTTTCTCTGTTTTCTAATAGATAGTGTAAGCAAGCTTTTTTTTTTTTTTTTAATAAATCACATGTATTCTCTACCGGATGCAATTTTATTCGAGACAGAATCATCCATATCATGGTGGGGTTAGCTCTTCCCTTTGATAGTGTAAGCGAGTTTTGACTGGATAGAGAAGTTAAATGCAGAGAACTTTTCAGAAGGTGTTTGTTTGACTCTTTGATATGTGGCTTTTTTTGGGTTAAAATCTGAGGCTTATTTCATTTATAAGCTACAGTAGCTTGGACCCTTGAAGGACACTAAAATTGTTTTAATTGTTGAACTTATAAGAAGTGGAGTAACAGAAGAACGAGGCCGAAGCCCAAAACCCAAATCAACAAAATAACTAAATAAACCTATCTACTAGAGTGCCTGATACTTCCCTGTTTATTTGATTTTGGTCTTTGCAAAGAAATATGTAGTCCCGTGATCAGAATAATATGAGAGAAGGGAGAATGATAGCAAAATCTACAGTGAGGAAATCTACTATGTAGTGAGGATGCAGTATCACAGACAGTAATATCACAACTAAGAAGATGTTGTATTCAAAATGTTGATCTGTTTTGTTATAAGGTTCGTTTTATCAACTGTCACGAAGAAAATCATTGATTACTTTGTGTGCTTAAAATGAGATAGAACATAACATAACAAAGTGGACAGCCAACATTCACTAAATGGATGAAATCAAGGAGAACATAACCATTCCGTTCTGTTTGCTTGCCAAATTTTACATTTATTTGCTATATTTGATCACATATTAGCAGGATCTTTAAATCAGCATCGTACTTAATTACAACAGTCTTGGTTTTAACCCTCTTCTATTTTATCCCTTCATGCAGGACGTAGTTTATTTGGATATTCACCAGGCCTTCATCTTCTCTAAATTCTATCATTTACACTTGTATTTTTTGCATAATGAAACTACCTTATTGAAGTCTAACCATTGTTATTTGCCGAAAGAGACTCTTCAACTATAAAGAACCACTTTAATCCAAAATATTAAGACACGAGTCTTTTTAGTGGTTTATATTATTTTCTAAAACACCTTTCACGCAAGAGCCTTTTAGGTTTGAAGTGTGGATATTGTATAGGCCCAATTTTTTTTTTTGTTGGTTTACCTTATATTTATTTAATTCCACGAGTGGAGATGGTGAAGATCGAACTCGTGACCTTATGATCACTGAAGCTCTGATACCATATAAAGAACCACTTCAATCCAAAATTTTACGGTACTGTATGAGGGCCTTTTTAATGATTTATATTATTTTATAACATCAACTAATGATTAATTACCTACAATGTTAATTAAATACTATTATAGTGCAGCTTGTGTAATTTCATTACCATCTCTGAGGACAAAAGAGTAACTTACCAGCTTTAGATAACTATCATTCATATGTTGTAGGAGAAGTTTTCTTCTCCTACAACGAATTACAACTATGTCTTACTTGTAGGACATAGTTATAATATTAAAGTTGTTTTTTTCTTTTCGCCACGTCAGCTGACAGCATTATGAGAATAGAGAAAAAAAAGCAACTTTTAAAATTATAACTATTTCTTAGTGGCATGATATAGTTGTAATTCGTTGCAGGAACTTCTCCTACAACATATATCCCTTCATAAAAATATGGAAAAGTTAGGGATGCTCCCCAAAAACTTGAAATGGTTATTAAATATTATCTACTCCAGTGCATCAGGTTGAAAAATAAAACACATAAATGTGCAAGTACAGGGTCTTTGTATGGGTAACTTAGCCATTAGCAGGGTGACAATGGGGTGTCCCTTTCCGCTGGTTGAATATACCAGCTTTATCCACCCCATCATTTCCTACAAAATGACATCGCATCGAGCACGACCTTCTTTCCCCATTACCCTATTTAAGCTTAGCAAGGTCTCGAAGATCTGTGTTGTAAATGGATGACTTTCATCATTCACTCCAAATTTTTGATGACCTGATTCCAGCTCTACAGAGCTATACCCAATTGGCTTCTTGATTGCTTTTTCCCTGACTACTTTTCTCACTCTGGCAGCATCCTGCCATCGACCTGCATCTTCATACATCTGTGCTAGAATCACATAACGCCCAGCATTGTAAGGGTCCAAAACAAACAACTTCTCTGCAGCCAATTCAGCAAGCTCCATATTTTTGTGTATTCTACAAGCACCCAACAAGGCACCATAAACATTTTTACCTGGTTGGATAGGCATAGATTGAATAAAATCCACTGCTTTTTCCAGATCCCCAGCTCTCCCCAATAGATCCACAATGCAAGCATAATGCGCCTCGCTTTTTGCAACTCCATAAGTTTCCATGGTCTGAAAAAGGTGCCACCCTTGTGGAAGCATACCTGCATGACTGCATGCGGATAACAAACACAAAAATACAACACCATCTGGGCACGAGCCAGCCTCAACTAATTGCTGGAACATACTGAGTGCCTCTTGTGCAAGACCATGCATCCCGTAGCACCTAATTATTGCATTCCACACTATGATATTTCTATCAGAGATCTGGTCAAAGATGGCTCTAGCCATGCCTATATAGCCACAATTTGAGTATAATGATATAAGACCACTACCTACAGCAGGATCAAGCTTCATCCCTGTCTTGACAATATAAGAATGAATCCAGTATCCGGCACGAATATCTGCTACCTGAGCAAATGCAGGAAGAACTGTCACAAGGGTGGCGTTATCAGGGGCACCTATACCATCATCCATCAACATATCATAGAAGAGCAGGATAGCATCATCCACATATCCATTCATGGTATATCCCGAAATCATAGAATTCCAACTAACAATGTCTCTACAAGGAATTTCATCGAACACTTTTCTTGACACTTCAACCTCTTGACACTTTGCATAAAACGCAACAAGGGCATTCCCAACAAACAAATCCAAGTCTAATCCACACTTCGTAGCGTGCCCATGAATCACTTGACCCTTTTGAGAAGCTCTCTCAGCACCACAAGCCTTGAGCACAAAAGGGTAAGTGTAGCGATTCGGGGTCGTGCCACTCAATCGCATCTCATCGTAGACCTTCAAGGCTTCAGCGAAAGGACCCACATTGGCATAACCTTTGATGACCACGTTCCAACAAAAAACATCTCTTTCAGACAAATTGTCGAACACCTTGCGTGCATGTTCTAGGTTGGAGCCACTGAACTGCGCGTACTTATCAACTAGCTTAGCAACGATAAATGGGTCTTGTTCATGACCCCCGACAATAACCTGGGCGTGCGATTTTTTAATGCAATCGATGGTTTTGCAAAGGTGCAACAGTTCTGTGTAATAGAACGAGTCTTTGTGAGGTTTGGGTCCCAAAATTTGTTGCACTCTTCGAGATACGCCAAGCATTGAAACTCGCCTACGTAAGTACTGTTTTTTCGCATTCCCTTCACTTTGTTCTCTAAAACCCTTTTCATTTTAGTATTCAATTTTGTTCTATAGCTTTTGTAATTACTTATGTGGTGGTTATACTTACAAGCAAAGTTTATCACCTTACTACTAAATTAATAACAGTTAGGTTAATTTTAAATATAATGTCTCATAATCACTTCTTCAAATAGTAGATTGAATAAATTCAGTTTTACTTCAAAAAAATTTGCAGTTTGAAGTTAGATATCCTTTGATGTAATTAGGTGTGGTCCATATGTGACTTAGATAGTAGTATGATTGTAAAACTTCGAATCTTTCTTTATCAAATATGTCCCCACTCTTCTTAATTAATATTTCATCCAACATTAGGCCTTATAACGAAATCATTTTACTACTTGAAGAACATGTGAAGATTGCTCGAGTTGCAAAAACTTCAGCAAACAATAGAGCAATACCGAAATTAATTTTTGCTTTTATCTCGAAGTTAAATTACCAGATTTTATCGCAATATTGCGGAATGCTAATTGTTAGTCATGCCACCATAATTAATTTAAAAAAGACGGGTATACATAAATCAAATACAATCCAGCCTTGAAGGGAAAAATGTGAAATCGATGCACTCAAAATAAAGAATATAAAGATACATGATGTTGATAATAACAAACAAGCATTGAAAGAATACTTCAAGCATTACAACTTACAATAATCAAAATGAAGTCTAAAGGATCAACCAATTATGTGAAGTTCATCAAGGCAATGGACAAAGTTTAAAGAAGATCAAAACTAAGTTACAAGAGAAAAATCTAAGTCCAAAGAGTTCATAGACAAAGTTAAAGAAGATCAAGACTCAAGCTACAAAAGAAGAATCTAAGTCCAAAAAGTCCATAAGTAATATATTTTAGGACTTAGAATTAAATGTGAGGGTGATTGACAACTTATATGAAAAAGCTCAAAGGATTTTTTCAAAACACATGCATTAAATCATCATTTGATATTGAGAATCATTCCTAGCATCTCATATTCATGAAAATATGTTTACAAGTGTTTTTGAAATGATTGAAAGTGATTAAAACACACTAGAAAATAAAAATAAAAAACCATTTTCAGACGAATTTCCAAACTTTCAACAGTTTGATAATCGATTACCTGAATATGGTAATCGATTACCCACTATAGCAGAAGACAAAAATAACAGCTAGTCTTCGAAAAATGGCTAAAAATACATGTGTGTTATGCTTCTAAATATAAGGAATCATTGTTACATTGGATACACAACTATTATTGATCATCATTCTTGATTTAAAACGTATTATTTGCTCATTCTCAATCCTCTTGATCATACACACTCTTTGAGTTTCAACGGCGCTAAAAACTTGTTGCGCTCACTGCAAGTATACCAGTCGCAAAAGTAAAAAAGAAGTGAACAGAGTATCGTTTCCACGAGGATTAGGTATATCAATCACTATTCTCATTATTCCCCTTAATTTAGACGAATCGAGCTGGATTTGAGAAAGTAATATTAAAATTGATATAAGATCAATTTAGAAATAACAAAAGAAATTAAATATTGAATAATAATTAATTGCAAAGATGAACTCAGGTAAATAAAATTGGTTTTGAAAATCAATTGTAGTTAGAGTTTATTTCACCTCAGATCCTCCTTAAATGGATTAATTCAATTCATTAATATCTTATCTCAATTGATTCAAACAATCCATCATCTAAAATTCAATTGGTTGAATCCTAATTTCTTAGTTATTTAACCTTTTAACCTAATTAGAATCCTAATGCCTTCGAGAACCCTCTTAGTTTAAGCTTTAAGCGCAGTGAATTAAGAAGTTCGCAATTCCTACAAGTCTATGTCTAGATCATACAAGAATTGGTGATTTACCCCAGTCAAGACTAAAATCTCAATATGTCTATTGTGAACCCTAACCCTCTTTATTCCTATATGAGTGATCAATTCATAGAAGATTTTCAACATAAAATTCGAGATAAACACAAACAATTAGAAATAATTTATTAATGAATAAATTAACCCAAAATAAGGATTCACGTCAAATTCATATCCCTAACTACAAAAGAAAACTAGCCAGACATAATAGGCTTTAACAAAACAAAGAAGTAAAAGAAAATATATGAAGTCACGAAGATGAAGGAAGAAGTTGATTCAATGTTGCTTTAATCTCCTTCAATCTTCTCTCTCTGAAAATTCCAAATTCTCTAGCAATCTCTGTCTCCGCATTTAGTCGTCCAAGTCCTCTCAGATCTCCTTTTGATTTCCTTATTTTTGCTTTTATATATCCTTGAGTGATTTCCTTCAAATTCCAATCAAATTTTCTCAATGTTGTTCAAAAGATTAGGTTTTAAAAGTGTCACATGCATATGGCGCTAGTGGCACAATTCTGGCACTGCTAGCGCCACTAAACAGAAACTTATTTGTACTCTGGCACTGCTAGCACCACTCCCACGCTAGTGGCACGAAAGATTCGAAGTTTTGGCCCTACTAGCGCCAGTCTTGCTCTAGCAGCGTAAGGATGTAATTGGAACTGGTAGCGCCACTCTGGCGCTACTAGTGCGGTGAAAAAAAGGTAATTGTATCTTTGGCACTTCCAGCACTAACTTGGCGCTTATGGCGCGGCTAAACAGAAGCCTTCTTTCTTTTGCTCTTATTGTTTAATATCTTTTCAGTGTAGATTTTCCTACAAAACATGAGATTTTTTTTAATGAAAGCAAGTTTGAGAATGGATTAGCAATCTTTATCATAATTATATGTCTTTTTGAATCAATTTAAATCAAATACATGCTAATTTTGACCATTAAAACATAGTATGCTGGAAACATATTAGTAATCGATTACCTGAATATGGTAATCGATTACCCACTGCAGCATAAGACAAAAATAACAACTATAAACGTCTATTAATGGCTAGTCTTCAAAAAATGGCTAAAAATACATGTGTGTTATTCTTCTAAATATAAGGAATCATTATTACATTGGATACACAACTATTATTGATCATCATTCTTGATTTAAAATATATTATTTGCTCATTCTCATTCCTCTTGATCATACACACTCTTTGAGTTTTATTCTTTGTAAAAGTGTCAACACCCGTAGCTCTTCAACTTGTGTAATTTGTACTTTGAGAATACCTAGCTATTCTTAAACACTTCCATTTGAATTCTTGAATTGAGAGGGTAGTGAAACCAATTGTACTTGAGAGGTTAAAAATTCCTAAGTAAATTTTGGAGTGAAGTGTAAAGGAATCAGAGAGCCTGGAGTATTGGAAGATTGTATTGTTTGTTAAGCACCCTTAAACCTTAACTGTTAGTGGAAAAGTTGATCAAGCAACTTTAGTCTAGACGCAGGTCACAGTGGTGGTGATCAAACCAGGATACATCTAGTTTGCAATTTCTTTAATCTTCAACTCTTTACTTTTATCTATTAGTTTGTGTTCTTTTATTCATTAGCTTATATTTATCAATCATACACTAGTATCTTCACTTAGAATTTTCCTTGTTAAATCAATTGATTGCTGGAAACATATTAGTAATCGATTACCTGAATATGGTAATCGATTACCCACTGCAGCATAAGACAAAAATAATAACTATAAACGTCTATTAATGGCTAGTCTTCAAAAAATGGCTAAAAATACATGTGTGTTATTCTTCTAAATATAAGGAATCATTATTACATTGGATACACAACTATTATTGATCATCATTCTTGATTTAAAATATATTATTTGCTCATTCTCATTCCTCTTGATCATACACACTCTTTGAGTTTTATTCTTTGTAAAAGTGTCAACACCCGTAGCTCTTCAACTTGTGTAATTTGTACTTTGAGAATACCTAGCTATTCTTAAACACTTCCATTTGAATTCTTGAATTGAGAGGGTAGTGAAACCAATTGTACTTGAGAGGTTAAAAATTCCTAAGTAAATTTTGGAGTGAAGTGTAAAGGAATCAGAGAGCCTGGAGTATTGGAAGATTGTATTGTTTGTTAAGCACCCTTAAACCTTAACTGTTAGTGGAAAAGTTGATCAAGCAACTTTAGTCTAGACGCAGGTCACAGTGGTGGTGATCAAACTAGGATACATCTAGTTTGCAATTTCTTTAATCTTCAACTCTTTACTTTTATCTATTAGTTTGTGTTCTTTTATTCATTAGCTTATATTTATCAATCATACACTAGTATCTTCACTTAGAATTTTCCTTGTTAAATCAATTGATTAAAGAAATATTCTTTAAAATATCAAATGAGGTGCTTTTGTAAAAAGATTTTATAAAACATAATTCACCTCCCTTTTGAGTATTGAAGCCACTTGTCTAACAAGCAGTATCAGAACTTGAACTCTTGTGTAAAGAGCTTAACTGCTTTAAGAGAAAGGGTAGCTTCTTTGAACAAAAAAAATGCCCAGTGAGGATTCTTCAACTATTAGACCTTCATTTTTCAATGGCACCGATTATCCTTATTGAAAAAGTCGGACGAGAATCTTTCTTCTATCCAATGATTTAAGAATTTGGAATATAGTTGACACTCTACCCAAAAAGAATGCACTAAATGAAGATGTGCCTAAGGATATTGATGAGTATACGGATGAAGAAGTTAGGAAAGGAAATTGGGATGGTAAAGCTCAAAACCTAATTACAAATGCCTTAGGTCATGATGAGTATTTTTGTGTCTCCGATTGTAAGAATGCTAAGGAAATGTGGGACATTCTCCAAGTAACTCATGAAGGAACTAGTGATGTAAAATTTTCTAAAGTAAATGCACTTACTAGAGAATTTGAGTTATTTGAAATTAATGAGAATGAAAGTATTCAAAGCATACAAAAGAGATTCACACACCTTATTATGCATTTGAATGCTCTAAATAAGAACTTACTGATCTTGATTTGATTTCTAAACTGTTGAGGAGTTTGAATAGGGAATGGCAACCCAAGGTGATCACTATAATCGAATCCAAG